TTTTATTGATTTTAAATGTCCACTTCTGTTGAGATTATCATCATTGACTGGTTAAAAGAAATAACTGTTAAAACACCATGACTTCACATGCAGTACACATACAATGCTGCAATATCAGACACCTAGAACAATAGTCGCCTCTGTGCTACTAAGTTAGCTGAAAAGCTGAAACTGGCCATAGACTGTGATTTTCTTTCCTGCAACCACATGTTGCAGAAAAGAAAATCGCTAGATTGCCCTATCAACACAGTCCGTGTCAGTGCCAGTTGTGAGGCACTTGCTGGAATGACTAAAAGTTCAGAAGAATCTGGTGGTGATTCAACCTGCCAGCTTCTGCCAAGACCTAAAAGAATCTGTTTTGTTAGGAACTAGGCTTAAATGAAGCCTGGTTTAAGGTGAGTACCGTGTTTTGATGCTGGGGTGACAAAATTATAGATACCCCTTTTTTAATTGTTCTGTTTTGCTGGCTTCAGGCAAGCTTTTGGCATGCAGCATTTTGTTTTCTTTTGAGTTGGGTGCTTTCCCTGTTAGCATGAGGGCAGCTCAGCTCTGAAGTCTCTGAACAGGGTTGCTTTTGCTGATCAAATTAACCCTGCTGTGCTGCCTGGATTCCACTGCTTTCAATGCAGAATTCTATTTTTGTAATTGCCTATTTTTTATTTCAGAAAACTACCTTATTAAGAGAGTCTTCTTTTTACCAATTAGGTCAAAGCCCTAAAATTTTAAGAACTAAACCTCATGGTTTAGAGAGGACAGATTCACAAACCATAGGTGAATTTCCCAGAAGAAGAAAGGGTATGTATTTTAGATCTCCGCACTGTCCTGTTTACACCAATTTTTCACATGGGTATAGTGACACTGAAGGCGGCACTGCAAGTCCACACCATTGCAGTAAACTATTTTCTTTATGTAATAAACCAAGGCTGAGCTACTTGCCTTTACTTTATAACTGACCTTGTTTGTATATGTTCATTGGTACTTCACATTATTTTATTTCACTTAGCTTTACACTATATTTACAAACCTTTTAAATACTTAGTATTTTATGTGTATTTTTAAAAAAACATGTTGTATTACACTTTTATTAATGTCGGGTGACCATATTGTCAACTTTTTTTTCCTTCAAAAGGGTAGATATTAAACTTTAGTAGCAGTATACACAAAACATGACATCTCTCTACAGGCTTGTATCTTGAACAGTTGTACTTTTGGGCTGTGAGAACAATGCATACTAATGTGGTTGGAATAGAAGAACAAAGTAGTTGCACAATATACATGTGTACATTCAGGCTCAATGCACACTAGCGTGTTTTTATTTTTTTTTTTTTGGGGGGGGGGGGTTTAAGCTAAAAAAAATGCTGGAAAAACCTCTGGATGAAAAAAAAAAAAAGCTGATAATAGCGGTTTTTTAGGAGCATTAGTGTTTTATTAGCCTTTTTTACAGTATATGTTGGAGGGAAAAAAAGCTGTTGGTGCTTTTTAGTAGTGTTTTTAGGTGCATTTAGTGTTTTTTTTTCTGTTGGAAAAAATCTCCCAAAAACTCTACAAAAACATTTTTTTTTTTTTTGGCTCCTAAACGCTGAAGCTTTAAAAACGCTATTAGCCTAAAATTTTGTGCGTGGACACCTAGGATAACGCTATTTAGCTTCTAGGAACAAAAAAAAAAAAATGTTGAAAACCGCTTCTAGGAGCTTAAAAAAATGCTAGTGTGCATGGAGCCTTATTTTGATAGCATTTTAAGATATTTACATAGTGTAACAATTTTATTTTATGCAGTAAAGCCAGCACCACTGGAAATAAAGCCAGTTCCTGAGTGGGTAGAATTACCTGTACGATCTCCTGTAACTAGAAGCTTCACAAGAGAGTAAGTGTTATAAAATGTGTCGTTTCCCATAAGATGGTTAGTGCAATTTTTAGTCTGTCCTTCATACATACGCCATGAAATCTTGCTAACTATTATGAGTATATAAAAAGATTATTATTATTGGTCATGCTGCTAACAATTAGCATATCCATTTCCATATATTTAAAACTAGATAATGGACTTTAAATATACAAAAGGGGTGAAGAAAGTTCATCTCCAAAAAAAAATAATCTTTTGTCTGTCAATCATGAACTGTATGTTTTTTTTTTTTTGTGTTCTGTTCCTTCCAAACACTAGTTTAATGGGTTTGTTTCTTGCCCTGGGGACCAACAAGATTCCTCCTGCTTATCTTTGAAGGGACTAGTCCCCTCACCACCCCTGTGTGGTTCAGTTGCAGCTCATTACATAAGCACGGCAGCTTGGGATTTGGTGTGGTCCCTTTCCCTCTTTCATCCCCACCTCTCACGGCCAAAAATGTAGTTAAATTGATAGGAAGAAGTCAGAAGTGATATGCGCCCTTGCATAAATCCTCCCACTGGTTCCCACTGGAGGGTATGAAATGAAATCTGCACATAATGTCATAGAAATACATTTCTCAGAAAGTAAGGGTTCGATGGGAAAATTAATGCAGCGGTTTTATTGGGAAACATGTTGTGATGATCCTAGAATTGGGCTGTAACTACTTGTCCTCCAGATGATTTAACCCCCTTCCTGACCAGGCCATTTTTTTGCGATACTGCACTGCGTTACTTTAACTGACAATTGCGCAGTCATGCAATGCTGCACCTAAATGAAATTTAGGTCGTTCTTTACCCACAAATGGTATGTATCCCACAAATCGGTGGTATTTGATCGCCTCTGCATTTTTATTTTTTGCGCTATAAACAAAAAAAGACCGACCATTTTGAAAATATTTAGACTTTTTGCTTTAAAACCTATCCAAAAAAAAAAATTAAAAATCAAAAGCCATAAATTTAGACCAAAATGTATTCTACATGTCTTTTGCTTAAAAAAAAAAAAAAATCCCAATATGTGTAAATTAATTTGTTTACATGAAAGTTATAGCGTCTACAAATGGTGTGTATATATACTGGAATTTTATTTATTTTATTTTTATACTCGTAATGGCAGCGATCAGCGCAATTTATAGCAGGACTACGGTGGGCATTCTGACACTGGGTGGGAACGAACTGCCACTGACATCCCCAGTGACACGAAAACAGTGATCAGTGCTAATAAAAAGCACTGACACTGTACTAATGACTCTGGGCAGGATGGGCTTAACATCTGGGGCGAACTGGATTAACTGTGTGCTGTTTTACTATTTTGTCTGTGTGTGCTTTACAGTGTAAGCATGCTGCTTTGTAGTGCTCTGCTATGCAGAGCACTACAAAGCAGCATGCTGGTGCTGACAGGGGAGAGATCTGTATTGTTTACATACAGACCTCTCCCCTGTCTGAGTTCCTTGGCGATCCCCGGGTGCCAGCGGGGAATCTCCGGCCAGAACCCGGTGATTGACTGCTGTAACTGCCAATGGAGGTACGGGTAGGGTGGCAGATGCGCCTCCTACCCAGAAATACAAAATCACGTATATGTACATGATTTTGCACAGCCCTGCCGCCCTGTAGCAGTAGTGCTATAGGGCAGTCGGGAAGCAGTTAAATATACTATTTAAAAGCAGTTATTTTCATCTGTTTATAAGTGCAAAAAGAAAAGTGAATAGTGTTAACAATTCAGAGATGTTCTGTGAACATTTTTTTTATTTTTGTGTTATCTTTAAGTATTCTCCGTTCTCATCGTGTGGATTACAAAACAGACCTGATCAGGACCTTCATTCTCCTCAGTGGAGCAGCAAGTGTAAACTGACATTGGTCCATTTTCATCCAATCCACAAAAAACAGACAGATGGAGATCTGTTCCCCTTCCATCCAGCAGATTGGATCAGATGGCAGTCAGATGTAAATGGGCAGACAGTCCATTTACATTGGACCAAGCAGGCTGTGTCTGTATCCACTCTGCATAATCTGAGTGGACACGGACCTGTTGTTTGCCTGCTCAATGGGAATCTGCAAAAAGTTACCTTGCTGAGTAAACAGATTGATGGCGGAGTCTGCCCCATGTGAAAGAACCCTTAGTAGTTAGAAAAGCTGGGCAGCACTGACGCTATTTAAGTCCAGGAAAAGGCATGTGTTGCCAGTCTGCAGCAGGAAATTAGGAACCGAATGTATTTCTGGCAGATCGACAGGTATTTTTCTGTAATTGCAGTCTTGAAGGAAATAAAACATAGGGAAATGTGCATGTATTGCAGAGTACTGCATTTTTATCTGTTGAGAAATGCTTTTAATATTCCTTGTGGATTTTCCTTAGATCCCCTGCACACCTTTTTACTCTGGTGCATTATGTTAAGGCAGTCCAATAAATTTATCAGTCAACATATCAGAACACACAAAAAAAACTGTATCTACTTTTTTTTTTTTTTCTCAAACAGTGCTTTTTTAATGTGTGGTTCCGTGTTGCAGTGCAATTTGCAGGTATGTTGGAGGTGACGCACCAACATGCATACGCTGCATAACTGCACTGCAGTGGTGTAAATGCCACCACACACAGCTCGATTTACTTCATCTAGTAGACCGAATGAGATTAATTCAACAGATTCTTTCATTCATGCTAACAACATTGTTGGAAGGGGCTCCACTGCTGGCCTATTGTATTCTGAATTGTATCCTGAACACAATATTACTGCCAAACTGTGATGGCATCTGATAGGATACCATCACTGTTCGATAATTTTCCACCCAGGTCAGCCAACTTTTGTTGAGCCAGTGGTGCTTGCAGAGCCACCCACAGCTCAGATTTTGTCCAATTCCACAGGAAATGGAAGGCAAAAAATACGAATGCACTGTTTAATCCATCTGAGGAGTCCTAGTATAAACAATTACTTAATCCAGCTTCAGCCACCATATATTCCTGTGAGTTAAAGTTAAAAACTGGGTGTAACAAATATTGACAAGGTGACTTTTAAATAAAACGTTCACTTAATCTGAATGACCACATTTGTCTATGTAGATTTTGCATGTGAGAAGCTTATGCACAACTTTTGTAAATGTATTTGTTGATTAGTTCCTCCAGGTTCCCGATGCCTCCCAGGCCAGATTCTGTTCATAGCACAGCTTCGAGCAGTGACTCACAGGACAGTGAAGAAAATTATGTACCAATGAATCCAAATCTATCTGATGGTCCAGTATGTACCAGTTTTATTTCATTATTACTTAAAGGTGAAGGTTTACACCTACTATGCACTATGAAGGGAATATTAGAATATTTTGGACAAGCAGTAAAAGCATTTAAGCAGATCCAGAAAAATATAAAGTAAAAAAAATCTAATGGAGCAGAGGCACCTCTCAAAACATAGCATAACATGGCTATTGGAATTTTGGAGTAATGCATCATCTAGGTTCACAACAGAGGCACTGAAATCACAACTGCCTTCCTTTTCTGTTGAAGCAGAATCTGGGCAGCCTGCCAGCCTTATAATATAAACACACAGCAGATTTTTTTTCTGTTAAAGACCTCCTGAAACCCGAGCTGGGCTGTGAGCCCATATTATATATTGACACACAGCGTGGCCCAGTCCCATTCACACACCAACCCCTCCGCCCCCCCCCCCCCCCCCCCCCCCGTCTCTCCTCGCAGGATTTGATTAACAGCAGCACGAGCCAATGGCTTTCACTGCTCTCACTGAGCCTTTTTGAGGGGACAGAGAGTAGTACTTCTGCTCCCAGGCACAGGGCTGAATTGAGATTGGGCTCAGGTAAGTATTTAGGAGGGGGCTGGGGGCAAGCTGAACATGAGAAGTGTTTTTTTTTTTTTTTTTTACCTTAATACAGAGAGTACGTTAGGTAAAAAAAACCCTTTAGCCTTTACAACCACTTAATGATCTTGTAAAATTATTTCATACTTTATACAAATCCAGAGGTTTCCTGGTGGAGGGCTACTGTCAGGACCCAAAACATTGCACTATTATGATGTCTTCTGTTAGCAACAAAAATTTGCTTGGTGAGAAGCCTACCCAGTGGTCCAACATGACACAATGTAAGAATGCAGTAAACATCATACTTGGAGTTCAGCTTTAACCTCTCTGTGCCCAACCGTGGCAGTTCCTTTTTTAATATAGGGTCTGTGCTTCCGGGGGAGCATCGTCCAATCACGTGAGCACTGTGACTGCCACAGTGGTCACATGATCAGGAGCTGGTCCTGCTAACTCCTGAATAATAGTACAGAGCGATGGCTGTCTTTGACAGCTTGGTCCCTGTGCTGTGAGTAGGCTCTCCACACCAAAATCTCTGCCACCCATAAAAGCATGTGTGCAGCATGTAGGTGTAACTACCATACCATTTTTTTTTTTTTTTTTTTTTTTTTTTTTTTTTTTTTTTTTTGTTATATTTAGAACATGCAAATACGATCTACCATTGGTGTGCCCTAAAAACTTGCCACTACTTTTGTGTGGTTTTTTTTTTGTTTGTTTTTTTTTTTCTGGTTTTTGTCATGTTTACCATTTTAAAGTGAAAGTAAAAAAAATCCTACATTTTGGGATTTCCCCAGGACAGTAATGGCAAGGAAATCTTCCAATGGGCACACTAATTCTGGTGACAGCTAGGGACGCTTTAATTTTGCGGGATTTCCTCACTTCCTGTTTTGGCTATAGGAAGCAAAGGGAAATGTCCCTGATGTGACACGGATGGAATAAAAAAAACCTGGCAGGGATTATAACCCTCTCTTACTCTATCCAAAATGAAAACCTGTTTTGCTTTTAGTTCTACTTTCACCTATCTTTCTAGTGCATGTGTTTTAAAGTTAGTGATTCACTTTCAATGAACATAACATTCATATTTTATAAATCTGCCTGTTAGTGCGCTGGATAAGGGTCCGGGTCCCAAATGAAGTTCTTCAGTTTTCTCTGGGAGTTCTCCCAGTCGTTAGAAAAGCAATATAAAGGTTTTTTTTTTTTGTTTTTTTTTTTATTACTTTAGAAAGGGTAAAGGGGTCCCACTTTTGTTTTCTAAATTTTGTTGAGCCGCTAGAGTTTTACAGAAGCATTTTTTCAAGTGAATTTTACCTACAGCTTAGTAGTACTAATTGAACTACCCTTTTCATAATTTCAGAGTTTATTTGAAAGCAACAGCCTTGATGGAGGAAATAGCCCAATGGTGAAGCCTAAAGGAGACAAGCAAGTGGAATATTTAGATCTAGATTTGGACTCTGGCAAATCAACACCTCCAAGAAAAGTAAGCAACACAAGTGAATACACAGAACTATACTTATCTAGAACGACTTAGAGTGTGGCGTGTGCATTTTCAGTTTTGGATGAATTTCATAGCCATACATACAGGTTTCTATGTAGTCAGTCTCTGCCTAAATGTAAAACATGGAAGATGAAATGATAAAGCTAAAGTTAAGTGTTAAAGCATACATATTACCACGAGTAAGGCACATTACTTCAGATATTGTATTTCAGCTTAGTGGAAACTGTTTTTGATTATCTCCAGTTCTGGCTAGGGTGTAGAGAAAGTGGACCTTATGGGGTTTATTTACTAAAGCTGGAGAGTGCAAAATCAGGCACACTTCTGTATAGAAACCAATCAGCTTCTAACCTCAGCTTGTTCAATTAAGCTTTGGCAATAAAACCTGGAAGCTGATTGGTTTCTATGCAGAAATTAGCTTTATTTTGCTCTCTCCAGCATTAGTAAATAAACTCTTCTAAGTCAGGCATAGCCAAATCCTTCCAAAGTCATAGATTTACCCAAAATGGTCTCATCTCAGGTGAAAGTAGTGCTGGCAGAAATGCCCAATATTCTCATTTTCAGCCCTACATTTTGCTTTGCTCACAAACAGGAAGGAAAACACATTTCCATACTATACCTTGTACCAAATGTAATGTTTGCTGGGAAGGCTAAAACTGTACTAGACATCTTTTATATAAAAGGAGAACAGAAAGTATGCTTGACCTCTCCTCTCTTATAGCTGGCCATAGAGCAATTTCCATGGGTTGCCAGAAAGAAAATCACTCAGTTCCCCCGTCAACACAATGTTGATGGAGGAATCTCTCCCGTTCGAGAACACTGTTTCTGTATAAATTGACTATTTATACACACACTATTTGCAATTGAAAAAGCCACAGATGTAGGAAATTAATCTTTAATTGCCATTTTAACTTGTGTGTGTCACCTTCTGTGTCTGTACCAAGGCTAAACATTCCAGGGTATGTAAACTTTTGATCAGGGCCATTTGAGTGTTTTCTGTTATAATTTTAAAAAAAACTGTCTTATTTAAAGGATAGTGATCATATGAAGCCATTTTGGCAAGATCAGTCATATTTTAAATATCAATGCCAACATTGTTTATGATTTCTTCCAGGGTATGCAAACTTTTGAGCACAGCTGTAGCTTGTAAATAAAGGGTTCTGTACTGAGCATTTGGCTATTCATTCGTAAGTGCAGGGGAGAATAAGATTAAGGAACTGTCCTCAATCTTTCAGTAACTCCAAAAGTAGTTTCAATATCAGGGGACTGTTTTACTTTCACCCCCTGGTGACCGTAGAAATTTAAAAAAAAGAAAACACACACACAACTTAGATGTGCACTACACACATTGTGGTAATGCATGTTGTGTGTTGCTGCACTAAGGACCCATTCACACCACTGGTTGCATATTATGCTCGTGCACTGATGTGGGTCTGGCAAGTGTGCTGTGGTGCATTGTAACAGAGCATCCAAAGACCTAATGGCTGTTGTCATGTAAAGCTGTGCTGTTTGGATACATGGAAGAATGGAGTGATAAAGGTGTAGAGATAGGCAGAACAAGGGTAATTGCAGCAATACAGTGCTAGCACAGAGTTCCAAGCCACTAGTCTACCCTGACTGAAGCATCAGCGATGAATGGAAAGTTTTCTGCTTTCTTATCGCCCTTTCTGTTGCCCACAAAACTGCCCAAACAGTCTAAGGAAGAGCCAACTCACTTAAGCAGTGTTTGTTGAATGTTCATGCAAATTGTATTCTTCAAGGGCTAGCTTGCGTATCAGGAATGAAATGTAGCTTGCCCTAATTGCTCCCCTCATCATTGTATGATCAGCAGGGATCGTTAGATACATTATAGGGGTCAGAGGCTACCTTTTTAAAGGTTAGTGCCTAGATTTCAGCTTAACGTCCAGGATAGTTTCTTCATTTTGTCCATTCAAAAGGCTGCAGTTTATTCTATTAGCTAACAGCATTTTTCTAAACTGCAGAAGAAGAGCAGTGGCTCTGGCAGCAGTGCTGCAGAAGAGAAAGTGGATTACGTTGTAGTTGACAAGGAGAAAACCCTGGCTTTGACGAATACCAGGAAAGCATGGACTGATGAAAGACAGTCAACTGAATCTGAAACCCCAACCAAGAGTGTCAAATGAGGTTTTAACAAGAACAATCTTCTTCCATCATGACAAGCAAGCCATCCCTGAAGCAGTGCAAAGTAGAAAAATGTGCTAATGATCGCATCTCTAGGAACTTTACAGATGATTTGGTGAGAAGGAGACTGGTGCACTGTGGAATCTATATCACGCATATGAGAATGTACATACTTTATCATGGGAAACCAACAAGGACCATTTGTTTAACGCATTTAGCCATGTTTTGTAGTATTACTATGTTTTATGCACTTTTTGTGGTTCGAACAATGGTTCTTGTTCCTAACACATTTTGCTATTAACGCAGATAACATTTTAGTTTTATGTCGTACACTAATACAACTAAAAGCTATAAGAATTTTAACATAGTAGATTGGCCACTTAATGCATTGCAGTGAATGGTAGCATAACGGCCATCTATTACCAAAACACAGAATTGTAATTATTGTATTTTCTGATTTGACTTTTATGCTTTTTTTTTTTTTTTTTTTTTTTTTTTTTATTTTGTTAATTTGTGTATTTGTGTGACAGTTTTTGTTTTAGATTTCAGAATTATCACCCTCCCTTTTTTTTTTTTTTAATGTTCATTGCTGACTTTAGTGTATTATCTTGGTCTTCAAAACTGCAGAACCATGTGCTCGTTTTTAAAATGATTTTTTATACAGCCTATGTTATTATCACATAGTTGGATATCATTAATCAAAAATGTGTAATTAAATGTAATTTTGTTCTTTCCCTCCCCAAAAATTGCAGTGTTGAGGATAGATGTGCGTTTTCATTCTGCTGTAACTAAAGGACCACAAAACCTGCAAGTTGATTTTAGAACAATGAAGCTGGTAACATTTAAAAATATATTTGTAATGATTCATATATGATATCATACTAGCTGAATTCCTGAGCAGGTAAAGGATCTGAGTGACATATAGGCAATTCTTTAGAGAGTCCTCTACAACCCCTAAATGAAGGCTTAGTTTTGGAAATGCATACAGACTATACTTATTACAGGATTTTACCCATTTCCTTGCAACCTCTATGAATAGGTTGTCTCTCGCACATTTTCATGTTCTTGAATGATTATTTTAATATTAAGTCACATCCATATATATTGCAGGAGATTTACAAAGCGTTGTGTTTTAGCACAAGAATGTAAAATAGAAATATTGTCAAGTATGGTCATCTAAGATGAATTATATACTTAACATTCAAGAAGTGTAATGGAGATCTACCTCCATATAATTATGTTTTAATGTGCAAATTGCTTCTCTTTGTAAATGTCTCCCATTTTTTGATTTTGAAGGGCTAGATGTTGTTAAACCTCTTTTTAAACATCACCAACAGGCTATGTTGTGTAATGTCTGATTATAATATTCAACGTTCCAAAAAAAAAAAAGTTTGAGAACCTTTTGCCATTCAACTATTAGATACCTGCCCTCTGATAATTATAACATGTTCAGACCAAATTGTCAAGCATTGTATGGAGTATAGAGGATTAAAAATTGCATCTTCTGGATACCATCATCAGATAAATTATTGCCCACAGATTCCTTTTGCTCTCCAGTGTTAGCTGTATGTCACATCAGTATATAAACCTGTGCTGTACTCGCAGGATGTGAATGTATGGGTATGTAATACATGCTTTGTAAAGAATATCCATTGCATATTATCTGTGGGAACCTTTTAAGCCCCCAATTCAGCAAATTTGTTTTTTTGGCTAACTCTACCTTCCTCAGCATGTTTCATGTTCGTGTGTGTAACAAACTGTGGTCAGGCTGCAGCCTTTCACCCTCAGACCACTCTTCTCCCCTGATACAGAAGCTGTAGGTGCTTCTCTCCATCAGCCCCTGTAAAGTTTGAAATCGGCACAACTATGCATGGAATCTGTGCATTTAAAAAAAAAAAAAAAAAAAAAATACACCTCCCATCTGCCATCACAGCTGAGTGACTTTATAGTTCTCAATGGAGCATACGTGCTGTGGCATCACCACACTTGTAATCTATTGAAACATCCTTGAGCCCTGTAACTGAAGGCCTGTACTGTGTTTCAGGATTAGAGAGGTAAACAGGCAGACAGTTCAGTAAACTTAAAATTCACTTTATCAGAAAACAGAAGTGACAAGTCTTCAGATTCAGCTCAAGCAAGACAGGTAAATCTTTCCATCTCTACAATGCAGTCTTTTATGAATAACTTTCAGCATTCCAGCTACAGCACACACAGTATTTTAAAGTCCCCATTAAAGGCAAGCTCTCCCAGCAAGCAAATCAGAGTCAGACTATGGAGACTTCCAGGCTGCATCCAGGGCTCCTTATGGCAGACAGCAAAACTGTCATCATCCTACCTCTCTGATCAGCTGGTTAATAAACAGGCCTGAAGAGAGTACCTGCCCTCTACAAATAACCCCCTCTTAAACCTGCATCAGGCTGATTCTCCACACCTGGTACAGCAGCTGAAGAAAAAGTCTTCAGGAGCAAGAGCATTGCATTCATGATTCAATTATCAAAATTGCAATGGTTTTCAGACTCCTGTGCAAAAAATATATATTATTTAACATGCTTTTTTTTTTTGCCAAAGGTGGACTTGGCTTTAAGCCAGTTGTAGGCTTGTTGGGCTATAAATATGTATTTTATCTACCCAAGCTATCCAAGCACACTACTGCTTGAGGTATTACAGTTGCTAAATCTTTGGTCCAGTGTTTCCCAAACTTTGTCCTCTAGTTCCACTAACCGTGTATGTTCAGTGGCTATCCACACAAGTAGATAAATTGTAATAATAAGGCACTGATTAATCTACCCTGCATGTGAGACATCATTGGGATTGGGAATCTAAACACTATACAATGCAGCTCAATCAAGCAGACCAGCTATGAAACTTCGGTATTTATCATCATTTTTCTACACTATTGGTACTGCTCTTACCCTTTGGTACAATGCTTCTAGAAGTACAATGATTCTGAATATTATGTTTTAAAATCCTCTCTATCCTTGGTAAATAAAGTTACTGGTATTGTTTTCCAAATAGAGAATTTCTTTTTTAATTAATTTTTAAAATACTCAGTAGTAAAACCAAAACTTTAACTGCATAGTTTAGTCACATTCAACAGTTACTACATTGTGGTGAAGCTGCATAACCTTAAATCTAATTTAAGACTGCTGGCTTAAAAAATATATTTTTTGAATGTTACTTATTGGTATTTTAATACAAACTATTGCCTATATGTGGTTTGTGGTCTTTAAATGATAATGTCAGTATTTTTATTTATCCAATTAAAACATCTCCTCAGAAGCCATTTGTTTCAGCTTTAAAGTGTAGGAAGTGACATGAACTTGTGGGATGGCCAAAAGCTATGCTAGTCACTTTTTTAATATTATAGTTTTCATGTGCTATTGGTGAATATTCTGCAGGGTCAGATTTTTCACTGAGAGAGATGAGTGATTATATAGAATTATCTTGCATATGGTGTCTGCAGTTATTTTAGCATTTTTTTTGTCATACAGAAGGTAGACTAATATTTAATCAGGTACTTCAAAAGCACTGCTGTGCTAATAACACTGATCAGGACTTTACAGTGATATTAAGCAGTTAAGGTTTTAAAATATCTAATTATGTTTTATTGAGAAAGCTGCCATACACGTTTTAGTGCTAGCACAATACTGTGATTTTTGTTTGGAATAGCCAGGTATAGAATGTTTGACACCATTGTGCCCTACACATCTACACGTTGACAATGTTTAACTTAACACCTGCTTTGCCTTATATATTTACATTTCCTATGCAACTGGTTTTACATAACTTTTACTTAGTCCTCAACTTTTTCTTATGATGTTATTTAATGTTTTTCATCTTTTTACTATTTTATGGCCCAGCACAATGGTAGACTTGACCAATGCAGTTAAATACTTCAAAAAATGATCAACAAATGGAGGTCATTTACTTGCTGTGCACTTTAAGGATCTCAAATCTGGAACCTGTGCCCAAAAATAACAAGCAGATGGATAATGACTAGTCACCAGTATTGCCTGTGGTCTTTTCCTAGCTATTGCCTTATCATGCCTTGTTATGTACTGTTGTGTGGAGAGGGTCATCTTGCTAGTTAGGGCTTTCCTTCCACATGTCAGAGCCCCCACCAAGGAAAACTGTGGGCAGCATACTAGTGACATCACCAAATCTCCTGTGACTGGCAGTCATAACAAGTAGTGCCTTAGATCTCACACTGCAGATACATAGTTATAAGGCAGCAGGCACAGAAGTGCTTAAGGACACACATACCATAAGCACACTCCCATGTTTGCATAGTGTGATAAATATTTGATTTTTCTTTTTTTTTTTTTTCATTTTCTCTCTCATTTTACCTACCTATATTCTAAGTAAATTACCTTTTTTATGCTCCATAATTCCATCAGTTTGAAAGCAAAAACGCAGCTATGCCTTACATCTGGAGGTGATATCATTGAAATGCCAACATCATTGTGCAGGACAACTGGAACAAACTACTTCCCATTGTGCAATGAGGATTGTAGCTTGCTGTCAGCCTAATGGTGGGCAGGATTTTGGCTAGTTCAAAGTATACAAGTCATAGCCTTTTGACTACATCCACATTACTGCACACTGCTCATTTACATCGCCTTCCAGCAGGAGTGAGGTGTGTCAGTCAAGGGATGATGTATTTGAGAGCAGGACAAGACCATGATTCTAATGGTCTGTAGATCAAATTAGGCAGTGAGAGTGGACAGGACAGACCTGGAGTGCTATTACAATTATTTTGAAATAAACTACATTGAGGAAGTTGCACAACCAGTGGCCTGGGGAAGGAGCGGGCACAGTGACCACTGGTCTTGCATATAGGTTAATAGGGAAACTGAGCTCTGGAAATTATGCATTCAATACCAGATTGATAGTTGGCTGCAGCTTTGTATGCAAAAAGAAGCTAATACTGGTTAAAGGTGGGAAATTACTTTTACAATTAGAACTTTCTAACCAGAGTTGAGCTTTAACTATTTGGCAGAAA